ATTTAAAAGCCAGTATTATTTTACTTCTGATTTGTAAGCCCTATTTTTTTCTATATGATTTAAAAGACAAATGCATTGGTTTCATACATTTGCCTCTTAAATCATATAGAAAAAAATATGAATCTATGTTAGTGGACACATATGATATAAAAAAGTTGTGACAATAACAACACAAAGGAAAAGAGAGGCATAGGAACAGTTATTTATACTATTAAAGCTAAGTTGTTATTAATTCAAGCCAGTTTACTATATATTTAAGATGTTAATTTTAACCTCCATGGTAGCCACTAAGAAAATAGGAAATATCTAGAAAAGGAAATGAGAAATGAATTAAAATGTATATTACAAAAAGTCAACTAAACACAAAAGAAGGTAGTAATGAAGGAACTGAGTAACAAAATATATGTGACATATAGAAAACAAATGGCAAAATGGCAGAAGCAATTCCAGTAATTACAATTCAAAGGATTTGGGTGAGGGCAATGGGACATAATCATGTCACATTTGGATATGTTGGTGTTTGAGGTTTTCTTTGGGGTGGAGGACATCAGGAGGAGATATCCATTCAGCATCTGAAGCTTATCATTGAGAGCTAGTAATATAAAATTGGGACTCAACAGCATATTGATCAAAGGTTCTCAACCCTGGCTACATATTAAATGCCGTTTTACAAATATCCATGCTTAGGACACCCTTCTTCTCCACACTGACATTTTAAAGCAGCTCCCCAGGTGAATCTAACATGCAGCCAGGATGAAATGTCATATTATAAGTGGTAACTGGAACTGTTAGGAGTTAATATGATCAGGAGGGAGAGTGCAAAGAGATCAGGGGAACTGGAAAGGAAATTTACTTAGGAAATTTACATACTACTTAGGATGGTAGTCTAGTACACTGTCTAGTACGGTAGCCACTAACCACATGTGGCTATTTAAATAAAATGAAATAAAATAAATTCAATTCCTCAGTTGCATCAGCCACATTTTAAGGACTCAGTGGCTACATGTGGCTCATGGTTACTGTATTGGAAAGTATATACATAAAAGATTTTCATCATTGTAGAAAGTTTTATTGGATACTGCCAAATGACCCAAATTTCTCTTCTGTGTCTGAAATGACTATAATACAGGGGACTCTTTCAATTTTAAGGTTAAAATTGTAGTATCTATATTAAAATTTTGGTACTTTCATTTGCATAATATATTTTCATGGCGATGGACATGTGTGTTTTTATTTTTGTAAGCTTTTTCTTCTACTTCTCTCCAATGTCCAGGGGAGGTTTATATAATCACTGACATCTAGACTAAATAAAGGTATTTTATTTTCCCTTAGATGAAGACATGTGTAAAATTTATATACACATGTCACTCAGCTGTATGGGGGATTTTATTTCCCTCAAGTCAATCAGCTGCATGGGGAATTTTAAATCTGTTGCTCAACACTCGTTGTCACCTTGTCTGCATGATGTTACTTGAGGTAGTCAAGGTAAAAGCAGAATGGAATGACACTGGAACAGCAAATAATAAGCAGTGAAATTAGTTAAAAGTCTGTGTTTGATTACTAGTCTCGGATTGGCTTTAATCCCAGATCCCACAGACCATCAAAAATGAGCTTGTCCCATTTCCATTGCCCCTTTATGTGACAATGTTCACACAAGAGCTTATTGGCCAAATTTCCTTAAATGGGGCAAAGGGACTACTTTACAAAATTTTTAAAAAATGATAATAGTTAGGGAATCTGAGTCAATGGTACATGGGAGTTCTTTGTACTAATTTTATAACTTTTCTATGTCTCTGAAATTATCTCAAAATTGCAAACAATTACTTAAGCCAGCAAATCATGAATACATAAAATCAAACTATATAGCTTAAAATAAAGGAATCTTTAATGTCTTCTTCCCCCATGCATTTTAAAATGAACTCATCCTTAATACACATTTTTCTACCCAGTTTTCTTAATATTGTATAGGAATTTTTCATACATAATTATCTGTAATAACACTCTTTTCATATACTGCCCTTCCCACCACCAATTTCTCGTGTGGGGAAGTCGCTCTGACAGGTGAAATTGAGACAGTATGCTTTCTACCATCATGTGTTAAAATACCGTACTAAAATGGCTACATAATATTTCATTGGGTCATGTCAGGTATACCTCAATGTATTTAACTAGTCTCCAGCTTGGGAATGTTTAAGGTTTCTTCCCTTGATCTACATTGTTGTAAATGAAGCTGAGATAGATATTTCTGTACATAAAGATCTTCACATATATCCAGGTTATTTGCTCAGTATAGCTTCCTAGAAGTTACTGGCCCAAAACCTGGAACCATTTTTAAAGCTCTCAATACGTACTGCTGAACTTCTTTCTAAATTATTTTATTAGTTTACCAGCAGTGGCTTCCTAAGGGGAAAGAAAACATATCAGAAATCTGAGGAAACAATCAACAGTTGACTGGATTTAAAAAATGTGGAATAGTATGCAGCCATAAAAAGAAAGAAATCATGTCCTTTGCAGCAACATGGGGGGCACTGCAGGCCATTATTCTAAATGAACTAACTCAGAAACAGAAAACCATACCATATGTTCTCACTTATAAGTGAGAATGAAAAAATCGGTACACATGAACATAAAGATGGAAATAATAGACACTGGGAACTCCAGAAGGGAAGATGACAGAAGGAGAATGAGGGTTGAAAAAATACCTGCCAGGCAGGGTTCACTATTTGGATAATGGGTATACTAGAAGCCCATTCCCCATCAGTATGCAATATACTCATATAACAAACGAGCACATGTATCTCCAAATCTAAAATAAATAAATAAAATAGAAATCCCAGGAAACAGATGTGAACCTCAGTTTCTTCATGCACAATGTATAATTTATGATCCAAAGTCCCTTCTCCCTCATACATTCTTAAGATTCCCTGAATCTGTAATAAATGAATAAGGTGTCATGAATGAAGCACATTTAAGATGTTCCAACAGATGATACTTTCATCTTGTGAGAAAGATTGAGGAACCTTTCAACTGATGGTCTGCAGATGTGGTAAAAATAGCAAGAGAACTCAAATTCGAAATGGAGCCTGAAGATGTGAATGAATTGTTGCAATCTCATAAAACTTTGATGGATGAAGCGTTGCTTCTTATGGATGAGCAAACAAAGTGGTTTCTTGAGATGGAATATATTCCTGGTGAAGAGGCTGTGAAACATTGTTGAAATGACAACAAAAGATTTAGCATATTACATAAACTTAGTTGATAAAACAGTGGCAGGGTTTGAGAGGATTGATTCCAATACCGAAAGAAGATTTACTGCAGGTAAAATGCTATCAAACAGCATTACATGCTACAGAGAAATCTTTTATAAAAGGAAGAGTCAATCGATGTGGCAAACTTCATTGTTGTCTTATTTTAAGAAATTGCCACAGCCACTCCAACCTTCAGCAACTACCACCCTTATCAGTCAGCCTGATCAGTCACCAGTCAGCAACATTGTGGCAGGACCCTCCACAAGCAAAAAGATTATGACTCACTGAAGACTCAGATACTCGTTAGCATTTTTTAGCAATAAAGTATTTTAAAATTGAGGTTTGTATATTGTTCTTTAAACATAATGTTACTGCATACTTAATGGGCTAGAATATAGTGTAGACATACATTTTATATGCACTGGGAGATGAAAATGTTTGACTTGCAGCATTCACTTTATTGCAATGGTCTGGAACTGAACCTTCAATATCTCTGAGGATGCTTGTATAAGCATTTGAACATCCCTCTGTTTCAGGGCAGGACTTTGTTAAGTGAGTTCCAAATTTATCTGCTTTTTTTTTCCCAGTTATATAAATGCATGGAGGATATGAATGTCTTGAGCATTGCTGGCACTAAATGAAATTGTAAAGATCAGTGTTAGCTGAAGTTATTGGGTGGTGGTTAGGAAAGGTATATGGAAGAGGTAGAAATTGAGCTGATTTTTAGAGGCTGGTTAGGATTTAGACAGATGTAGGAGTAGAGAGAAAAATTCTGTTATATGTGGGGTGGGGATGGAAGTCAAGGGTGAGAATTGGTACTATCTTGAATAGGACGGTATTTAGGAAAAGGGGGAAGAAAGCAGGAATACGTAAGCTGGACCTACTTGTTGGAGGATATTGAACATCTGGTTGAGAAGCTATGACTTGATCTTACAGGCATTAAAGAGACACTCTAGGTTCTTAAAGAAGTGATCAAGAAAGCTGTATGTTATAAGGTGACTCCTATGGCTGTGTCAATGGTGACCTAGAGTAGGAGAGAATGGGACTGTGTCATAAGTTAATAGATTCTATCTAAAATGGTGGCAGTCTTAATGGAGAAGAAGAGAATTGTAGAGTTATTGCAAAGGAAGAGGAAAAAAGCCTTGGTAATGAATCTAGAGAATGAAGCATAGGGGGAACCTCTAAATCATATCCAGTTTTAAGCCTTGGTGACTGGAAGAGTTATAGTGCTGCTATCTGTGTGGCTGAGAAAGGCCATTCACTAGGCTGATTACTGGGGCCCTGATATTTCCAGGAGAATCTGAGTTCCTGTCAAATAGATTCTATTTCTTCATGACTTCCACTATTCTTCAGAGATGCTTAATTTGCTTTTTTGGTTTTCATTTGGCAGAAACTTTTAACGTTTTAACTTTGTTTCTCTGCCCCCGGAGAGTTCTGCCAAATAATGATCTTAAATGCTTAAATGCACTCAAGAAGTTCTGCTGAGTACTCCTTTATACTGCAATCACCTTCAGTGTGACTATCTCATAAATTTCTCATTTTGCATATTGGGTGCTCTAAAATCAGGTCAACCTTATTGTTACCCAGAGAGTTTTACTTTTGTACAAGGTCATGTTTCCTGCAAAGCTGGTTAATTCTGCACATTCCTGCCTGCACCAACATATATTAACACTTAAAATATTACAGTAGAACATCTTCAAAATAAATGAGAAAAGCTTATGAGGGAACTTATATGGAAATAATGGTACATACCTCTATTTGTAAATTGGTGCAGTTTAAAAATATTGTCCTGGGAATTAGGAGACGTGGATTGTAGTCCCAGCTCTGCCACTAATTTGAAATATGAACTTAGGCAAGTCACATTACCACTTCTTTATGTCTTCATTTCCTTTTCTGAAAAATGAGGGGGAAAGACAAGGTGATTATTATCGATGTCAGCCCTAACATCAACTATTTATTAACACGATAAGTGTTTGCAAAGTATTACCAACAATTATGGTACTTAGTGACTACTGGGTTAGATATAGCACCAAGTGAGGACACATTTATCAGTTAGCTATTTCTTTATTCTAGGAAGACAGGCAAATGGGATGATTCAGGCTAAAAGAAATGAGGTTTGAGATTCAGTTATCAGTTTAGGCTCTTTTATAGATAAACTAGATAATCCAGATAGAATCTCAATTCACTTTGACACTGAGGCGGGGGCAAGTTAGGATTGTAAACCTGTATTCCAAAGGTAGTACATCTTGACTCAGAGATGGAGTTGGTCTGATTTTCTGAGATCTATGACTGCAGCCTCTTGAGTACTGTTTCCCAGAAATAACAATCATACTACTCAAAGCCATCTTAATGAATCGTTGTGATCAGTGTGATTTTTATCTTAAGGGAAACCAGCCCGAGATCTTTCCTCTAATAGGAATTCTGAGGAGTATGTTGTTATAAGAGGTTTTCCTCTATTGTGTCCCTTCCAAAAATTAAGACTATTCCCAGAGTCTCTCTATTGCCTACTAATGATTGCTTATGATTCTATCATTCATAACTTAACCTAAGCATTTCAGAAATCTGGATGAAAGATCATCTGGAATTCAGGATGCTCTCTGTGGGCCCTATAAAATATTGCTGTAAGTTTAATTTATTTAGGCATATAATCTAGTTCTTCAATATCTGCTGAGCCCCCAAGTAAATGAAGGAGCATACTAACACATATAATATCTCTGCTCAACAAGTTTTTCATATTCTGACTCAATTTAGTCCTCTTTCTCTCATGCTGTCTATTCTCCCACATACCCATTGCATCTACCTTGCTCTGTGGATTAAATACTCATGTGAAATGTGTCCTTCTTGGCTGCCAACTTTGGCTTCATTTAAATGTTCTGCCTCTCTGACTGCCTCAGGTTACAATTACCCCATCTTGTATCTTTTGCCCTTTGGCCACCATGTTCCCTTTAAGCTCAAGAGATGATTCTTCCCTTGGGCCCTTTACCAAGTTGGACCATGCTTACAATCCTTTTTAGTGACAGAGACCTTCCCCACTTTAGGTTTCTTCTTGCCTTAGAAAAATTCAGAAATCCGAAGAAGGTACCCTTCAAATTCCAACAGCTGTGTAGATAGGGGGAAAGTCAATTCTGTTCATTTCCTTCTAGAGTTTTCCAGTCTAAATTACTCTTAATCGACTCCACCTACAGTAGGCATTAAGAGGTTGCCTAGGGTTTGGGGTTAGGAAGAAAACTTTGCTAGGCGAGTGTGGGGCACAGGAAAGAGTGATACAAAATTTTTATAGGAGCAAGGTGTCAGCAGTGTTCTGCCCCTGGGAACTCAGTGTAGTTGATTGGGAATTTGCACTTCCTGCTTGCTGCATGGGTCTAACAGCTTTGTACAGGAATTGCTAATTATGGTTAGAGGGGCTTGGTCTGGTTCTTAGCACTCTCCTTCCTCAAAGATCTGGCTCTTAGCACTCCCCTTTCTCAAAGGTTGTATGTATTCCACATATTTACAGTTAGATTCTCAAATACCACCCATTTCTAATTTCATTTTTAAATCTTGAAAAAAATATATTATCTTGAACTTGTCAAAAATGACAATTTCCTCACAAACCCCATTGTCTTTAGAAAAGTATTCTTCCTAATTTTCCGCTGGTTTCTCATTATGGTCTTCCTTTTCTTTACTTACATAAGCTGCTGAACATTTCTAGCTTTTTAATATTTTGGCATGGCTACTGTTGTAAAGGTATTTTAAACTTCTGAGGTCTATAGATGGCCTTCTTATCTTTATCTTCTTCCAGTTTTTCCCCCAACATCAGAATGTTGTCCTGGATATGAGCAAGATAAAATGGTTAGCAGCTCATGTGACCTTCGCTGTTAGTGGGTAGTCAGGCCAAGCTAGGAGGAGACACCAGCTATTTTCTTAGTATGTAAAAACTCAGTCCTATATATGTATATATTGGGGCTGACTTTCTGAAAGTCAACGAAAAAGGCACTTTTTAATTGGAGAATTGCAGCTTTCTCTTTTTAATTTCCCTCCTACATCTATTTCCACTGCCTCTGCCAAGTACATAGCCTATGAGCCAATGATGCAAGGTCTTGTTCTTACTTAGCTATCTACTATCCATAAAGGTAATAGCCGATTAAAATGCTTAAAGTATTACTACTCACAGGAAATACCTTGCCATTTTAATAGAGTATTCTTAGAAATTGAAAAGAGTTCAAGATCTGTAGTAATGAATTTTTAATGCTGGAATTCTGAGAATAATATTTTTCCTCTGGAGAGAGAAAAGTGGTCAAATGCTTGCTTTTTGTATTTTTTAGAGTAGCTTAATTCCCTTAGTGAGCAGGGAGCATGCACCATGTCCCTAGGTGGATGAATTCTTCTTCTTGCATACAGGCTTATAGTGATGTTTCCACAGTGATTCTAATTTCCAGAGATAGAAGCAGTAGTGTACTGCAGATTGCTCATACTATCTCACAAGAACAGATCGTTAAATTTCTGAAATTATTGTCAGCTGTTTTTCTATACAATTATTAAAAATTAAATTATTTCAACTTACAATTAAATAAATTGCATTAAAACAAAGTAATACTGAGAACAAAGTAATTTCCTATTTATTTTACTTCATTTATAGGAGAATCTGTGCTCCTGAGGTTATTTGTATCTATTTTATTACATATGTAGAAATATTACATATGCTGTTAACTTGAAATTGGCCATAGTGGGAGTATATATACAATATACATTGGCAAATGCTACAAATTAGTGCTAGATTTATTGTTTTGTTGACAGTCTAGGATTAAAGAAGTGATGGGGAAAATAATGCATATTAAACTTGAAAGTGTGTCATGGAGGGGATTTTCACTTCTAGCTAAAATAGAGTAACAGGGACTAAATTTAACCTCTTACTTGAAACAACTAAAAAATAAAAGAAAATATGTAACACAGTGATTATCAGGACATAGGGTATTAGCCAATGAAAAGCAGTGGTCTCTGAGAGATGAATAAGAGTGCCAAGACCATTCAGTGTGGTTAAAATAGTGTCTTTAAAGAAATGTTGCTGAGATAACTGGTTATCCATATGCAAAATTACAAGAACTACATCAAAATGAATCAAAGATTTAAGTGTAAGAGCTAAAAACCATGAAACTCTTAGAATAAAACATGAGAGTAAATCTACATGACCTTGGATTTGGTGAAAGATTGTTGCACAGTAACAAAGGTAAAAATAGACAAATTAGGCTTTATCAAAATTGAAAACTTCTATGTTTCAAAGGACCCTACCAATAAAGTGAAAAGACAACCCACAGAATGAAAGAAAATATTTGAAAGAAAGTCATATATCTGATAAGGTATTTATATGTAGAACACATATAGAACTGTTACAACTCAATAATAAAGACAACCTAATTTAAAACTGAGCAAAGAATTCAAATACTCATTTCTCCAATGAATATAGATATACAAATGACCAATAAGAACATAAAAAGATGTTCAACATCATTAGTCTTTAGGCAAATGCAAATTAAGGAGAAGCTACTTTACACCCATTAGGATGGCTATAATAAAAAATATTAGAAAATAACAAGTATTGATGAGAATGTGAAGAAACCAGAACCCTCGTATACAGTTGTTGACGATAAAATGGAGCATTCACTTTGGAAAACAGTCTGACAGTTCCTCAAATGGTTAACTAGAGTTAAAATATGATCCAACAATTCCAGTCTTAGGTATACACTCAAGGAAAATGAAAACATATGTTTATGTAAAAACACACACACATGTTTATAGCAGCATTATTCATCATAGCTAAAAGTTAGAAACAACCCACATGTCCATCAACTGATAAGCAGATAAACAAAGTGCAGTATATCTGTACTATATTATTTTTCCATAAAAGAAATGAAATACAGATATATGTAACAACATGAATGAATGTTGAGAACATCAGGTTAAGTGAAAGAACCCAGTCACAAAAAAAGCACATAATATATGAACCCATTTTAGTGAAATGTTTAGAATAGGCAAATCTATACAGACAGAAGGTAGATTATTGGTTGCTTAGGTCTGAGGGAGATAAAGGACTTGACACGTGATAGGTGAAGGCTATATGGTTGCTTTTTGAGGTGAAGAAAATGTTCTAAAATTTGCTATTGCATATATCTGTGAATATACTACAAGACACTAAATTGTATACACTTTAGCAGGCACTTTACATGTATTCACCTTAGCAAGCACTTTACATGTGAATTACACCTCAATTAAAACTGTTAAAAGATATAAGGTAAGCAGAAATATTAAATATTTTTTTAAAAGGACCTAAATTGAACTTTTAGAGATGAGAAGAACAATCTCTAAAGCTAGTAGTGTACTACATCAGATTGATGGTGACAATGAAGAAGAAACATTTGAATACATAGCAATAAAGATATCAAAAGTAAAGCAAACAGAAGCAAAAGAACATAATATCAGCAATCTAGGACAACTTCATAGAGGCATCATATGTGTAATTGGATCCACCATGGGAGAAGAGTAAAAGGGGTTGACAAAGAAGGTATTTGAAAAGTAGTGCTTGAAATACCTTTTAAATTTGATGAAAAACAACCCCATTCAAAAGTGGGTGAAGGATATGAACAGACACTTTTCAAAAGAAGACATATATGAGGCCATCAAACATATGAAAAAATACTCATCATCACTGATCATTAGACAAATGCAAATCAAAACCACACTGAGATATCATCTCATGCCAGTTAGAATGGCGATCATTAAAAAATCTGGAGACAACAGATGCTAGAGAGGATGTGGAGAAATAGGAACACTTTTACACTGTTAGTGGGAGTGTAAATTAGTTTAACCATTGTGCAAGAAAGTGTGGCAATTTCTCAAGGATCTAGAAATAGAAATTC